AGCATTCGTCCCGCATACACAGCTTGCAGCAGCACTGGAATGCATGAAGGAGCGACATGAACACCAGACAGGATGCTACAAGAAGCAGCGTTTGGACTTAACCTTTACCCGCGTGACCCCGTTTTCGTCAATTTGCACTCTCTCCAGGGCTTACAAGAAGGCGAGCAGCCGGGGCGCTCGCCAGGTACTTGTTACGGCCTTTTAGAATGTAAGCCACTGCGTTGACCTGCAAGCGTGTGCATGAGTACGTAAGCAATGCAAAATGTGTGCATGAGCAATGCGTAGACGAATAATATGAAAAGGGCCGTCATCAGCCAGTGCATATGTCGCATAGGTGGCTTACACCTTGCGGAAGCAGCGCGACGCTCCGAGAAATATATATTCTTCATTTGCCTGTCGATTGTTCCCTGATGCGTCAACTTGGGCAGTGACCACAGGTGGCTTTTTCAGAGTACGTGCTGTCCTTCGCTGATGTGTTTCATTGTCTTGAGTCAGAGGCTATGCAGACGTGCTCTACCAAAGTTTGTGCATCGGGGGGTGACAGAGAGTGCAAGTGGAACCAAAAGCTACCTTGCTTTTTGTCTACTTGTTCCATTCAGCAGTTTGACTTTCGTTGTCTAGGGCGGATACTGTGTTGACGTCGTCGGCAGCCTGTGCATGGCAGTCGGTCGAACCGAGGTCCCGTAGCGGGTCAGCGTGCAACTAGTGTGGTGCATGCTGCCGGGTTGTATCGCTGCTCGCCACCCTTGATCGCAGCACAGCCCTTGACTCCGAAGTGTCAGTGGAGTGCTTGCAAAGGAAAGTCGCGAGAACGTCCGATCACTTTACGATTGCGCGGCATTCCCTCGTTTTGCAACTCTATCCAAGACACGAGATATCTATGTTTCCTGCACTATTTGCCACATACCATCGGAACCCCATCTGTCTCAGCAAACGAATATGCTTAATGGAAACGAACCTTCCACGCAGCTCGTCTATAGCAGAGTTTAAGGCACATTCGTTAGCTTTATATGCAGTTGTAGTGCACGCCGGCCACTTCAGCTGTTTCTCCTCCAACTACTGCTCAAGAAACGCATTTCCCAACTACAGTGGACCTCTATGCGGCACTGGCGAGAGACCAAAGAGTAGTACAGGAGGAACATGTTGAATTTCCAACTGCGCACATTCCAAAGGGGACGTTTTTATGCAAAGAGGACTCTAACCTTATGTTTGCCTCGCACTAGTAACGGCTGTTACACTCTTACACCAATGGCTTCTTCAATCCGTATCCTTCGTGTTTCCCTAGTCTACATCATAGTGTCATTGGCTAACCAGAAGTTGGATCGGGTTGCTTGCAGCCACATCGGTACGCTCGCAGCATTCGTCCCGCATACACAGCTTGCAGCAGCACTGGAATGCATGAAGGAGCGACATGAACACCAGACACGATGCTGCAAGAAGCAGCGTTTGGTAGTTAACGTTTACCCGGGTGACTCCGTTTTCGTCGATTTGCACTCTCTGCGGGGCTTACAAGAAGGCGAGCAGCCGGGGCGCTCGCCAGGTACTTGTTACGGCCCTGTAGAATGTAAGCCACTGCGTTGACCTGCACGTTTGTGCATGAGTACGTAAACAATGCAAAATGTGTGCATGAGCAATGCGTAGAATAATAATATGAAAAAGGCCGTCATCACCCAGGGTATATGTTGCATAGGTGGCTTACGCATTGCGGAAGCAGCGCGATGGTCCGAGAAATATATATTCCTCACTTGCCTGTCGATTGCACCCTCATGCTTCCACTTGGGGAGTGACCACAGGCGGCTTTTCCAGAGTACTTGCTGTCCTTGCTGTCCTTGGCTGATGTGCTTCATTGTCTTGAGTCAGAGGCTATGCAAACGTGCTCTACCAACGTTTGTGCTTCGGGGGGCCACAGACAGTGCACGTGGAACCAAAAGCTACCTTGCATTTTTATCTACTTGTTACATTCATCAGTTTGACTTTCGTTGTCTAGGACGGATACTGTGTTGAGGGCGTCGACAGCCTGTGCATGGCAGTCGGTCGAACCGAGGTCCCGTAGCGGATCAGCGTGCAACTAGTGTGGCGCATGCTGCCGGGTTGTATGGCTGCTCGCTAGCCTTGATCGCAACACAGCCCTTGACTCCGAAGTGTCAGTGGAGTGCTTGCAAAGGAAAGTCGCGAGAACGTCGGGTGGCTTTACGATTGCGTGGCATTCCCTCGTTTTGCAACTCTATCCAACACACGAGATATCTATTTTTCCTGCACTATTTGCCACATACAATCAGAGCGCCATCTAGCTCAGCAAACGAATATGCTTAATGAAAGCGAACCTTCCACGCAGCTCGTCTATAGCAGAGTTTAAGGCACATTCGTTAGCTTTATATGCAGTTGTATTGGACTGCGCCCACTTCAGCTGTTCCTCCTCCAACGACAGCTGAACAAAAGCAGTTCCCAACTACAGTGGACCTCTATGCGGCACTGGCGAGAGACCAAACAATAGTACTGGAGGAACATGTTGAGTTTCAAACTGCTCACATTCCGAAGGGGACGTTCTTCTGCAAAGACGACCCTAACCTTACGTTTCCGTCGCACTAGTAACGGCTGTTACACTCTTACACCAATGGCTTCTTCGATTCGTATCCTTCGTGTTTCCCTAGTCAACATCATAGTGCCATTGTGTAACCAGAAGTTGGATTCGGTTGCTCACAGCCACATCGGTGCGCTCGCAGCATTCGTCCCACATACACAGCTTGCAGCAGCACTGGAATGCACGAAGGAGCGACATCAACACCAGACACGATGCTGCAAGAAGCAGCGTTTGATAGTTAACGTTTACCCGGGTGACCCCGATTTCGTCAATTTGCACTGTCTCCGGGGGTTACAAGAAGGCGAGCAGCCGGGGCGCTCGCCAGGTAATGGTTGCGGCCCCTTAGAATGTAAGCCGCTGCGTTGACCTGCACGTTTGTGCATGAATACATGAACAACGCAAAGTGTGTGCATGAGCAATGCGTAGACAAATAACATGAAAAGGCCCGTCATCACCCAGTGCATATGTCGCATAGGTGGCTTACGCCTTGCGGAAGCAGAGCAATGCTGCGAGAAATATATATTCCTCACTTGCCTGTCGACTGCACCCTCATGCTTCCACTTGAAGAGTGACCACAGGTGGCTTTTTCAGAGAACTTGCTGTCCTTGGCTGGTGTGTTTCATTGTCTTGAGTAAGCTCTGCAGACATGCTCTACCAACGCTTGTGCATGGGGGTTGACAGTCAGTGCAAGTGGAACCAAAAGCTACCTTGCATTTTTATCTGCTCGTTACATTCAGCAGTTTGACGTTTGTTGCCTAGGGCGGATACTGTGTTGACGGCAATGTGTTGACGGCATCGACAGCCTGTGCATGGCAGTCGGTCGAATCGAGGTCCCGTAGCGGGTCAGCGTGCACTAGTGTGGTGCAGGG